GCTCAGGCTATAGGTTGGTTACTGAATTAAAATATTAAGGGGACTTTTGTTTAGGCCAGTGGTGCTCAACTTTGGACTGGAAGCAAACCTTCATAACTTCTGTGAAAGGAGTGCCACCTGACTTCAGAAGCTAATGTATATATCCCAGCCCTCACTCCATTTCAAAGGATCTAAGCAGTGGGTGTGGGGGATCATCCAGGCATGCCTAGGTTTATTTACTTGCTCATCTGCTTACCTCTTCATACCTCACGCTAGCTTGGCTATGAATCACTGATTCGGGGTGCACTTGATTAACTAAAGCGTCTTGCAGGCTTTCTTTTTTGCCCAAATGAGTTGGGAGCATCTGTTTGCTTTAAAATGCAATACCTGACTCAAATTGTAGTACCGTACCTGTCTTCCAGGTGCTACATCATAAAGTTTTTGAAATACAATTGGATAAAGTGAGGTTTTTGGCAGATAATTATTTGTAATCCTTACAAATACTGGGAGGTGTAGGAGATTTTTTGGTACAGTACTGTCAGGAAATTTGATACCATGAAAGTAGGATACAGTTGTTGATGCATCTGATACAGATGGGGCCTTTTTAATATATTGTAGACTCCTGAAAGTGTGCTGTGTCCACCTTCACCTTAAATAGAAATGTTTCCTGGTGCACCTGTCAATCGTGCACCATGCATGTTTTCACTTGCAGCAATATATACGTTATTTGGCTGCATGTAGTTGAGTTAATTCTGTAATAATATTCAGTAGTAGTTGTAGAGACTGAAAAGATTCTTTCAGGTGTGAGTGTCTTATTGTGTGTGTGTGTGTGTGTGTGTATTTTTTTAATTTTAGGATACTTTGAAAGCTCAAAATGACCGATGCAGATGATTCCCAGAGTTCAGTTTCTGACCACTTTGAAGATGGCCAGGACCTAGTGTGCACTGAAGAAGAGGGTCAGTTGCCCACGCATGATGCTGCAGTTGGAAGGAGTGCTCAGTCAGGCAGTGCGTGGGAAGATGCTACTTCGGAAGACTCTTCATATGTACTCGGTGCCTGTGGTACATCGGCCACAAGTTATACGCAATCTGCCAAAGCCTCCCTGGAGAACAGTGATTCAGAAAGGCGTGTTTCCCTTTTTTTTTTTTTTTAAAACTTAAGTAACATGCATGGCAAAAGAGCTATTTTAAAATTCTTATGAACATGTAAGAGCATCTGATGCATTCTACTTTACTATGTGGATTAGAAATGTACGCTGATTTGTGTTTCAAATGATGTCTTGAGGTTCATCCCAGTTCACTTAAGTTGTGGGGGAAGGATCAGTTTAGCATTGATTCTGAAGGCTATGAATGTTTTCCAAATGTACAGGAAGATAATGTTTCAAAGGGAGTGCGGTCTATGCACACTTAGTGGCTATTGGGGATACCAGACAAATCAAGTCAAAGTCCTTATTGTATATTTTAAGGTGAAGTTGCCTTTTGGTTAGGCAGTGTTCATGCTCTGGATCTAAAACTTGATTTGGTTCTTTCATTTGACCCATCACTTTTTTTTTTTTTTTTAACAGACTTGTCACCATTTTTTTCTCTTTAGCCAGTAACTCCCTATAGCAAACTGCACACAAGTACTGAGGGAATTTGTTAGAGGTGCACTGATAAAGGTTTTCTTGGCCAATACTGATGGCCAACTATTAACCAACCATATCAGCTGATGCTGATCCAATAACAGATATTTAGTAATAATGTAGTGCATTTTAGACTACTGACACTTTTTTGGCAGGCTCCAGCGGCTGTGTGTCATGTGCATCAGCATCCCGATGCTTAAAAATGGCAGCGGCAGTGCTTGAATGAAAGCTCATCAAATGAGCTTTAGTTCAAGTGCTACTGCCACCATTTTTAACTGTGGGGGACACTGTTAAGTGGAGCAGAGTGGGGTGAGGGCAGATGTGTGTTGCCTGCTGTGGTCTTAGGATGCTCTGCCCTGCTGCCTTTGCTCCAGAAGCCCCTGTGCCCCCTGTATGCCTGGATGGGCAGGGGATGCGGAGCCAGCACAGGGCTCCCAAGGGAAGGGCAGCAGAGCGGAGAGCCCTGAGCCCACAGGGAGGAGCGCACATCTGCCCTATGCACAAACCTGGGGGGCATAACATCCAGGGGGTACAAACAGTTGTGGGGAGCAGACCCTCCAGTGCTCCCTGTACAAGCTGCCCATCGCTCCATCCTGCTCCCAGCCCCAGGTCTTGTGCACTACCCTAGCTGGGCAGCACCCTGAGCCCCTGCCCCACTAAAATCCCTCACTGGGGGTGGGCCTCAGTCTGCACCCCCCCCATGTCCCTTCTCTCCCCCATGCTCCTTCCCCTGCATAGACTTACCTGCAGGGAGCTGTTCTCCCTGGTGTCTGGTTGTATTCCTGGCTGTGTGCATGTATGTGCCCATATGCATGCATCTGGGCCCCCTATTTCCTGCTCTCTCCAGCCTCAACCAGGCAGGACCCCTTGCACAAGGGGAAACCTCCTGTTTCCCAAGGGAGCTGAGGCAACTAGGGACCCCAGTCCCCTGGGGGAGAGGAATCCAGGTATCCAGGGCCTTGGACAGTGGATATTTTTATGCCTTTCTCAAGTGTGAAGGCTGAATATATACTTGTGGGTAATGCTCTGATGTCCAATATATCTGTTTTTCGAATAGAACTCAGATTCTTCCATGAGTAGCAAAGTGGGTACAGGCAACTTGTATGCACTTACCTAGTGAAACTGAAGAATAGGTTAACCTAACACAGAAGTGGATGCATTAAAGTACTGGAGTGTGGCATCTAAATATCTGAATGGGATTTTGAAGAGTTTAGCATGTACACTCATTCAAAGCAGGTAGTAGAGTGAAGATCCTATTGTTTTATATCGGGGAGAATTCAGAATGCATATTGTTGAGAAATACACACATGCTTGCCTTAAAATAATCAACTCTTTTATTTACTGTTCACAGTAGCCGTTGTTTTAGTGGCAGCTTATACCAACCTGAGTATAACACTGCGTCAAGGCGAAAAGTAAGAATTCGAAGGTCAGCAAGGAACCTATCTCACTCTCCTGCAAATAGGCAAGATAGTGCCAGACAGGATTCCTTGACAACCACCTCACATGGAGATCTGGGGTGTGGAAAGGAGTCAAAGTCCTCTGGATTGCCAAAATCTTCTCTCGATTTGAAAGCTGTTTTTGCCTATCACTTTCGAGGGAAGAGGCTCAAGAGAGAGGCAAACCGAAGATTTAAGGAGAGAAAACAAAGGACAAAGAAGAAGTATGAAAGCACAAGATGTCAAAGGAGACCACTGCAAACTATGTCACGAGAAGAGAGGAAAGAGAGACTTCTAGGCAGAGGGTTTCAGTTTCCTTTTGTTGAAAAACACTATGGGAGGAAACACATCCCTTTGAAAATGGTGTTTGAGTATGAGGTGAGTTTTAAAGTGAGCAGCTTCCAGAGGAAGAACACTTTAATCTTTAATGGTATGCTGTTGCTATAAATGGGGGTCTACTGGAATTGTAATAGTGTGATTTTCATGGAAACTGCTTTTGGGCAGGCTCTGCGAAAAGGGGCAGGTCTGCACTTTTGGCAGGCTTGTTTCAAAAATAAACTTGCTGGCAAAGAGATGCATGGGAAGCCCTGCAGTCTTGGAGCATGGGAGGGAAGGTGGAGGGGGGAGGGCATGATGGGGCTGTCTACAGGTGTGGGGTTATGCAAATAACAGGATTGGGGGGCAGGTACTGGGGGGAATGGAAATGCTGGAATGAGGCAGGGAGGAAAATTTGGATTTGGGGTGGGGTTATAAAAATAAAGGATTAGGGCTATGGAAGGGAGGCTTGTACAAAATCCCAGTGGAGTGGGGTGGGGCTGCCTCCACCCTGCCCCACGGCTCCATTCTATACCCTGTCACTTTGTATAACCCTGCTTCTGATCTTTCATTTGCATAATCCCCCCCCCATCCAATCCCACCTTCTCCCTGCCTCATTCCATCATTTGCATAACCACACCCATGTTCCAGCCCCCCTCCACTCTGGGACTTGCTCTGCCTGCCTCCCTCCTCCCTCACTTAGTTATGTGCATAACTGTCTCCTGTAGAGGTGGCCCTGCCCCCCTATGTTCTAAGATTGTGCTTTTCTCCCTGCTGTTAAGCTTTTTTCAGTGAGCCCCACTTAGGGATGGCTGGAAACTGCAGCTTAATTACCCTGATTAAGTCTGGGGCAGCCATTGAGCAACAGCTAATAACGTGTAGATTAATGGCTTCTTCAGGTTTAGTCAGTAATTAAGCCATGGCTTCAGGCCATGTGGCAAATCTGCTGGGAGGGGTGGGACTGCTGGGGCCCCTTGACTAATCAGAGGCATGAGGGGGCCCCAGTGTGCTCAGCCTGTGAATATGATGGGTGGGTGGCTGGCTGTGTGATCTGCCCATGAAATAGTTTGGTAGACTCCCTAGTTCAGGGCAGGCAAAATACAGCTTGTGGGGCCTCCAAAATATTGGCTGAAATAATTGCCTGACCCTGCCCTAGCTGTGGGGGGTGGCAAGGTATAGTAAATTAACAGAGCCTTTTGGTAGAGTGTTGGAGATGAGATTTATCATTGCATGTGGCCTGCTTACATAATTTCATGTGCAGGCATTTCAACACTTAGTACTTGATAATTCTTTCAACATATTTGTATTGGAATTATGTAAGGTATTGGGTGGGGGGTATGGAAATTTATATTTCTTGATTTGTTACATTATGAAGACTTTTTTTCTTAGCATGCAGCTTTAAAAGGATATTTTCAATACATTGAGATGCTTAAATATGAAGATCACTTTAAAAAGGGTTTAAAAAACCTTAATGCTAGTGAGGATTTGGAAAGCAAATGCATGGTGATGCGGAGACACAGATATTTAGATGATGAAGGACCCATATCTCCTATTCAGGACACAAAGTAAGTTCACTTCTTAATATTTAGAGATTTGAAAATGCTTTGTGTGCTTAACTAGAATTGAAATATTTTGTATGGTTTATGTCAGCATAGCATCTGAATGCTTTTGAAATTATTGTTACACTTAACCCTACCCTAAGAGTGGACTATTGTCTTTCAGTGAAGCCAACTTGGATTCTGATCATCAGGAAGAATATGATGCTAAAATAGTGGTGAGTAAACATTCTTTACTAACATTTTAATGTTAATAAACATTCTTTACTAACAAGTCTGAAAATTTCATTCTCCAGTTCTTCTGTAATAAAAAGCTGAACTAACAGTATCCAAAGACCAGTTTGTTCTGACCTTAAGTCATTGCTGGCCCTAGTAAATGTCAGCTGTGACACTGCTCCTTGCTTTGAGAATTCAGGGCTCTGTGTTGGGGGGACAGTACATTGGTATACATGCTTTTGGCCCTGTGGAGCTGTCCACAGGGGGCCCTGTGAGCCAAGTAACGTGATGCTGGCAGATGGATCTGGCTCATGGGTTGGGGGTTGAGTGCTCTGGGATAGTAAGGTAAGATCATAATTATGATTTGAGAGAACTTGAGCAGCTCAAAATTATTAGGCAAATCTCACTGCAAGTCTTGCCTTCCATTGACTCTAATTTGAGTACAGATCTTTTTTTTTTTTAATTGACATAGGATAACAGCAGTTTCATACTAAGCAGCAAGCTTCCAATCAAGAAAAAAAAGAAACCAAAGCAAAAGTCAGGCATGCAAAACTGACTGGAGTTGGTGATGGAAATGAAGAGGGGGAACATGCTGCTGATGGGCCTGGGCCTCCATAGCATACATGCCAGAGATGGAAAAGCTAATATACTAGAATAGAAATACAACAGCAACTCTCAGATACCCCCTCCTCGGCACCAGAGTTTTCATGTAAAAATGTGCTCGGCATTTATCCAAAGAAGCATCTTCAGTAAATACAAGTGATGAATAGAAGGAACCTTCTTTGTTGTAAGGTTTCATTTTTGTCTTTGGGTGAGTGCTTTGTTTGATTTGATTTGATCAGTGTCTAGAGCTAAAATTAGAAACGTTGCAATAAAAATGCAGTAATAGAGGCACTGCTCTTACCAATCTTTGAGACTTACTTGCTTTTAATACTGTCCTGCAAAAAACTCACTATGCTTGGTTTAAAAGTTAACTGCTTTTCTGTCATTGAGACCTAATAATACATTTGAACATTGTAATGTAATAAACAGTTAGATGCATCTTAAGTATTAAAAGCACTATTCTTTTGTTTTGTCTTTTCATTTGGACAAAAACTGAGAACTAAGTGCTAATAGTAAAATCACTCTTTTGCAACCCACAGTTTATTGTGGTATGAGCTGTGTTACTAGTAAGAGGGGACAGTTGAATATGTCTATAATGATGATGCTAGGAATACTGAATGGGTTGTATGCCTTCACTTTCTTTTTTGGAAAAAATCTCTAATTACAACTATAGAATTGTAGAATTTGAACGCTGGTCCCAAAATGCTTCCTTAGAATATAACACAATTTTTTTCAGTTGGATTCCTAATTCAAGAATGCTGGTGGGTTTAGCAAATGCTTCAAGAATGAGAATTTCATATCTTAAATTGTAACTGAGTGTTGCAGTGAACAATTGGCGCACATAAAAGGCAATAAAATTCAAGTACTACCCAGAGGCCTTAATTGGACACATGCACGTGGCTCAGTATCAACTTATTCCTTGCCTCCAATCTTGCACTTAAATGGAGGCAAAATTGGGTGGTTATACATGTGCTGGTGGCAGGGAGGAACAGGTGGGGGGTGGCAATTTTAATTAGAGCAGTTTTCAGGACCCACTCTTACTAAAAGGCCCATAGTGTATTGGGTATCCTACTCTTTTCAGAATGGCAGTGTGGGAACTTTAAAACTTATTCAGTATGCTTTAAAGTGCCTTGCCACCATTTTGAAATGTGAGATGCTGGATATGAGACACTGCAGCCAGTATAGAAGCATCTGATTGCAATAAGTAGAATTACTATAAAGCCACTTGCTTAACTTAGCTGTATACTCTGAAAAATGTTTTAATTTGCTGTATAATGGAATAGATTCAATGCTTAATGTGTTATCTATGACTTTCTGCTGTCTAGTGCTTTTCAGATCAGGAGAGAGTGTTTTATCATTAGTTAAGCTTTGTAACTTTAACATACCCTTTTGTGACTTGAGCTGGTGGTGTTGGATGATTTGTAATCAGTGTGGTTTGAATTATATGAAAATGATACATTTTAAGGACCTTGTCTTGGTAATATTATAGGAAATGTGACTTGGTTTTACCCCCTTGACTTATTTGCTAGTTCCATGGAATAGAAGGTTTTTGTTAAATGGGTCTGAGAACTGTTTTACTTATTTCTAGGTATTCATAAGGAGGAAAATCTTTTCAACTTCCTGTTGGATCTAGGAATGCAGCTGTTTCTGGGTAAGTCATGGCAGGTGGAATAGTACCATCTCCCACCTACTAAACATTACAGTTCAATGATGAATTTTACTGTTCAACTGCTGGGTGATTCAAAATGAACTAAACTCATAATTCTGAAATGAACTGAGCCAGCATAGCTTAAAAAGTAGCTTCTTGTAAAGTAAACTTTTTCTTTCTCTAGTGCTGAGAAATGGGACTCTAACTTGATCTAATGTTTCTATGCCTGCTTTTTTTTTTTAGTTCAACTGTGTTGCTTTTGAAAAGTGAATCTGGAAGTTGCTCTTGGTATAAGAGGTACGTTCCTGCTTTCTCCTATTTTTTTTTTTTTCTGAATTCTTTGGAATTCTGCGT